TATGTTTGTACCGATGCTCCTTCAGCTTGGGCTAATGGGTGGTACTCTAGGCCCGTTATGCATAGTCCTGTTTGGGCGTTGGGCCTATCCCAACATTACTCCCCCCCCGGTGTTCGGTTGACGAACTGGGTTATGCATAGTCCTGTTTGGGCTTTGGGCCTATCCCAACATTACCGCTGTCCTCGATAAGGGGCGAGCTAATAGGTAAAACGAGAAGAGGCGAGCTCGCGAGATTGAAAATGTATGGGCGAGCTGGTATTCCCGGCCACATTAGTGTGGGCCGGTCATGGCGGTGAGCTGAAGTGATTGGCAATAGACGAGCTCGCTCGAAGACCATAACTGCACGGAACGCCCGAGCAGCCGTATTTGTAACGACCTGAGCTTAGAGCACTACTGAAGTGCGATCAGAAGGTGCGACCTCACATTTAGGGCGACCTGAGGTACCCATTGATTTTTGTAAAAGTTTGTGACCTGTGTGAGCTGCAATCTGTGTATCGATTTGACAAATGTAACGAGCTGAGTCCTGGGGAATTTCAGCAAAAGGTTCATACGTTCGAACGAACTGTCACGGGTGTGCCGATCTGGTATGATGTCATGTTTGTAACGACCTGGTAGGTGTGTTCGCAATGACGAGCTGATGTGACAATATAGGGTACACATCAGCAACGACGATCTGAATCTTGGGATTTTTCGAATGAACCGAATCTGACCAGATCTCTGAGGAGATACGTTTGGTCTTCCGTATCTCTTTATCTTCCTCGCCATAAATGCAGGTACAGTGTTTGAGGAACATGACAGCAGGAGGCGGCGCACGTTATACGAAAGGCAGTTAAACGCCTACCACGTGTGAGACGCCTATTGGCGCGTCAGAGACACGCGTATTGCGTTTAATACGGTCATTTTGGTTTTGTTTCTTTCGTAACCGTTCCCTTTGCCATTTTCACTTTTGCGTTTGTTTGAAATCTTCTGAAATTCTCTGAAGTGAGGCGACTCCAATCTTGAAGAACAGCACACCGAATCGACTTCAAATTAGTTTCAGGTAAAATGGTTTCACTACGAGAACTCACAGAGCAACGAGGTAATCAGGGCAGAGAAGGAGAGGAAGAAAGGGTCTTAGCCGTGGAGCCTATCACTATGATAGTGCCACCGGAGTTGCAGGATGTACCGGAAACAGTGGCGTCTGGGAGCAGCGCCAGTTCCCGCACCAGAGACGACAGTGACGACCACCCTAGTGCGCCGTCAACCAGCTCGTCTACGGAAGAGACACCAAGCCGCGAGGAGGGGGTAGGGGATGCAGTGAGTCCTGTCTCAGGTCGGCCTGTAATGGATGAATGGGAGAGCAGAGCCATACCGAGCAGGTTGAGCAATTTGCGAAAGGCGCCGAAGGACATGCCCGCCGGATTCCATTTCAAGGCTGCACTTCACCACGAAGTAGCAGATTGTGCG